GCATCCAAGCACAAGGTAGTCAGAGGACAATTTGCAGGAGTCAATTCTCTCCTTCTACCATATGGGACACAGGGATCACACTCAGGCTTGTCAGTCTTGTGGCAAGCGCCTTTAGATAATGAGCCATCTCACCAGCCCTAAACTAATACACAACTTTTTTTAAAAAAAAAAAAAAACTTTTATTTTTATTTGTGTGGTGTTTTGCCTGGTGTGTGTCTGTGCACACATCCATGAAGGGCCTGTAGAAGCCAGGACAGGGTGTCAGAACCCTTGGAAATGGAGTTACTGCTGGAGCTGAATAATGTCCTGTGGGTTCTGGGAGCTGAACCTGGTCCTCTGGAAGAGCTGCCAGTGCCCCTAACCACTGAGCCACCTTCCCAACCTATCAGTACCTAACTTTTACAGTTTCTACACCATTTTCTTATTGCTAGGATGTTTTAAAAATGGAACTATGCTGGAGTTCCTTGTTCTCTCCTCCCTGCGACTCTGTGGACTGTACCAACTCCTTTCTAGTGGCCAGGACTGTTGCCATCCAGACCTTTGTGGAGAAAGTCTGGACCAACCCAACCACACCCTAAGGCAGTGCTACATGTGGGTCAGCTTTCACCTGTACGTAAGGAAGGATGCTTTGAGAACATTATCCCTCAGACAATGTTCTGGGATTTGTGACCCTGTTGAGGAGCCTGAAAAGACAGTGATTGGTCAGGCCGATCTGGTCACAGACTGAGATATCGGGGTGAGACAGTCAGAAAAGCATGCTACCCTCCTCCCCAGCATCTTAGTTCAGTGCATTTGTTTACGTCGGGCTGACTGTGGGTCAGTTAGCCCGAGTGATAGGAAACTTCTAGGAGAGGAAGCCATTCACTCAGACACAGGAAATAGAACTCAGGCAACAAAATTTTCCACCCTGTGGAGATCTGAAACCACAGTATGCAAGGTGCTTTGGGGGGACCTTCCTCAGCCAACTGTAGTTTCCCCTAGCATGCCACAGAAGCTTCTACTGGTGACTCACTGTTTTAAACTTTTCCTCTTGAGTCAGAAATGAACCGAAGCCTAGCCGAGGCTCAATGTGAAGGGGAAAGCTACTGTCTGGCCAGTGGCTTCTGTCATGGGGTGGGGCTAGGCTGCTTAGTAACTCAACAAAAATTCCAAGGGCTGCTAAAGAATTCCCTCCAATCCAAATCAAGTTTGCCTGGCACAGTGAAACTAGTTGGTAAAGTTGGTTATTTATTTATTTATTTATTTATTTATTTATTTATTTATGTAACCCCATTGCCACCCATGCGTGATGTTACAGTGTGTGGCCCATGTCCCTTGGGTGGCTCCAGAGCACTTGGTTTCAGTCAGTCACTGTGTTTCGTGGACCTTGAAGTCCTAGGACTGAATGATCGTCATTGCTTGCAGAAAGTCCTCAACCCTAGATACAATTTAGTGGGAAGAGGACATAGCTGAGAGAGATCGTGTCTGAAAGTTAGGATCTTCCATTACATCTAAATTAAAATTAAGGTGAATTTTTTCCCCATCTATCTTGGGCATTGTCAAACTGACCTAGGGGTCTGGGATGTACCTCAATGGTTGAATGCTTACCTAACATGTATAAGGTCCTGGGTTCAGTCTTCAGAACTGAGAGGAAAAAAGACAAAACTTACGGAAATGATTTTAACTAATTTCTAATAATTCATATTTAAAAATACAACATGTCTGCTTCTTAGCCTTCAACTACAGTTTCATCTGGTACTAAAGTCATCTGCCCAGAGACCTGGTGTGAAGTGATGCAGTAGACAGACAGAGAAGCTCTGTTCTGAGCTGGCTGTCATCCCGCTTAGAAGCAGTTGTCTTAGTAGCATCCCAAGAACCAATGCCAAAGGCACCCGCTCCAGCTGCCTCGCTGGAGCTGCCGGAGTTCCACACCAGGAGAGTTTTATGTAAGGCCTTCAAAGCTTCAGCGGCCACCACAGTGGCTGTAACCTGGCCTTTCATGTCTCAGTCCAGACAAACGCGTGATTGAAGAAAAGATTCATCCCAGCCCGTGTCACATTGGCCATCTGGAAAACCGCCAGGCGCTCATTTAGCAAATTACTTTGTTTAAAGGCAGCTCTGTGTTACAGCGTTTGTGCTACCAGGATGGATCGCATAATTCCTCCGCCTTGGTTTATCCGCGCAGCCCCTCTCGATCTGCCTAGCAACTTAAAAGGCTGTTAATGCGTGACAAGACACTTGACCTGCATGATTTCCAAGCCGAGGGAGAGCACTCGTCTTGTGCTGGGGTGTCCTCTCCTCCAAAGCAAGGGCACGCCGCCCTGCGCTCTCTGTCTTAATGAAGCCTGCCTTTATTATGAAGCCCATTAAGCTCCACAGGGCCCAGCCATCCAGCACTGTAAATATTACCCCAAAGAAAAGCACCCGGGGCCCTGGCGCGGAGTCGGGGGTTGGGGAGGCACGGTAAGTGCTCACCCATCCTGCCAGTCTGAAAGGGACCTCAGCTCTCTGCTGAGGGAAGGCTGTTGTTGTTTGACAGGCTGGTGCCTCTTTGTTTGGAAAGATGAGTTAGAATCCTTAGCAGGTAATGTCACAAGGCCCCCCTGGGGTGGTTTGAATCAGGGAGTTGGAAGCAACCTGACTGCAGAATAGCAATGAGTTCTCAAGTGTCTGATCTGGGTTTTCTACTTCCAAAAGAGGAAAGAGAAGAAAGGAGCCCACAGAGGCTGAGGTTTCTTATCAGGATGTGGCCAGTCACTTTGTCCTGATGCGGTTTATCATCTGTCATTGACCAGGGCAAATGATCTCGGTGACTGTTGTTTCCATAAATTGCTCATCTGGGGTCATGGTATTATTAAGTCTGGAAGCCAAAAGCTCAAATCAGTGAGTGGATCAAAGACATATCATGTGTTCAGTACCTAACCAGGCCCTTTAAGGAGGGCGGGAGAGGATCACACAAGAAATGTGCTTTGCAATCAAAGCCTTTGGGAAGGTTTTTTAAATAAATAAATAAATAGATAGATAGATAGATAGATAAAGGATATATATTTTAGTGACTGGTAAAGACTCAGACCTGGTGTCAAATGCTAATGCGATTTGGGCCAAGTTTGCCTTGGTCCCCTCAGAAGGAAACATTTACCTCTTTGAATTATTTTTAGAAGTAACTGAATTAGTGATTACGTATAGTAAGATGTTATCCTACTTAGGGGGTTGAGAAAAGAGTAGAGATAGAGAAAGAGGGGAGACAGAGAAAGAGGGGGACAGAGAAAGAGGGGAGACAGTGAAAGAGGGGGGAGGGAAGGGGAGGCCAGAGAGAGAAAGAAAAAGGTCAGAGAGAGTGAAGAGAGAGGCCAAACTGTTCTTTTTATAGCAACCCAGGCTCCTACCTGGCTGTTGCTAGGTAACTGTTGGGAGGAACCTAGAAGGAGTGCTAACACACTAACACTAATAAAATTGGGTATGGGATAGCGATCTTCAGTCCTGGACCGGAGAAATTAGTCACTGGACTGGAGCAAAGGGGGAGACCATTATGAACCAACTCCATACTACAAGCAACTCCAGGTAGAGAGAGGGTAGCCAGTGAATGGCACCCCATAAACCATGCACAGCCATGGTGGGTAGGGAAGGAAGTGGTCAGCTAGATGGACCAGAAGGAAGCTCTAGTTCAGAGCACAGGGGTGGAAATGATGAATGAATGAGGGGCCCCATTGGTGGAGGTTTACAGTCCAAGGTCTTAAAAGGGTCTCAACATGGTCTAGCTGGTAACAGGCTGCCATCTTGCTTTCTTGCAGGAAAGCAGCAGACGGCTTTGCATTGTTATGGGTGAACAAATAGGTCACTGGAGAGGATCGAAGCTAGGAGATGGGGTCCAAGGCCAGTCATCACTCCAGGTCAAATGGATGAGGTAGAGTTAACCAGAGGATGAGTGGGAGGGAATGAAGCTGGAATTCCATTCCAAAGCAGCCACCCCTGACTGACACCCATACCCACACCAGACAGGAGAGAGAAGGGAAGGAAAAGGTAGCTTTTTGGAACAACCAAGCTGGTTGCTTTGCCCACCATGTTCCAAACATAGGTCCCTAGGACACCAAGAGAGTGACAAGCCTTTGGAAGCTGATGAAGCCACGGAGCTTTCTGGCTGGCTGCATTAGGTTTGGCTTTATAAGTGTTCAGAGTGAAGTGAAGGGCAAGTGCAGGGATCCATGGGAAGGCGCAAGTCCCAGGGGCTCATGGGAGCCACACAGATGTGAACACCACTGGTTTAGGGAAGATAGCTCCATGGTTAAAAAAAAAAAATCCTGCAAGGACCCAGAGTGTTGAACTGAAAGGACTCAGTGTTGCAGTGAAGCTACAAACCCCTGAGATCCCAACTGTAATACAGGAGAGGAGCTAAGAGAAGCGAGGCACCGGTGCAACCACGGGGCCAAGAAATGCTGAGGTGAGAAGGGGTTGATCACTAGCTGAGGGAGACAGTCACTGAGAAGATGTCATTCAGAAGCATGAGTGGAGCCATCTTGAGAAGAGTTGGGGTGGAGTGGGGGAGAAGCCAGGTGGCAGGACTCTAGGGAGAGGTGCACAGGGAGACAGCAGGGCCTTGCTGTTAATTTGGAGGAGAGGTCAGTGGAGGGGAAGGGATGGAGATTCCTATTTAGAGAATGAATACGTCATGACAGTGTAATGGCATAAGGAGGAGGTGAAAGACCCACAGATGCTGATAAAATCCCATTAATAGATTACACACCGGAATAATCTTACATAAAAGATGGACTTTCAGGGATATGTCATGCTTGGGTTTTAAAAAGCCAAGCAGACTAGGAATCCGTGCACCCAGAGTGGGTGGTTGTCTCAGTTAAGATTTCATTGCTGTGAAGGGACAACATGACCAAGGTAACTCTTATAAAGGAAAATATTTAATTGGGGCTAGTTTTCAGTTTCAGAGGTCCAGTCTATTATCATCATGGCAGGAAGCATGGGAGGATATAGGCAGACATGGTGCTGGGGAAGGAGCTGAGAGTTCTACATCTTGATCTGAAGGCCACCAGGAGACTCTTCCTTGGGCAGCCAAGAGAAAAGTCTGGTTCATACTGGCCAGATTTGAACATATATATGAGACCCCAAAGCCCCACCTCCACAGTGACACACTTCCTCTGCCAAGGTTACATCTCCTCCAACAAGGCCACACCTCCTAATGGGCCAAGAATATTCAAACCACCACAGTGGTCTATCAAGAAAATGACACAAGGGCTGGAGAGATGGTTCAGCAGTTAGGAGTACTGTCTACTCTCCCAGAGGTCCTGAGTTCAATTCCCAGGAACCACATGTTGGTTCACAACCATCTATCCTGGGATCTGATGCTCTCTTCTGACACGCAGGTGTACATGCAGATACTTGCATACATAAAATGAATAAACCTTTAAAAAGGAAGGAAGGAAGGAAGGAAGGAAGGAAGGAAGGAAGGAAGGAAGGAAGGAAAGGAAGGAAGGAAGGAAGGAAGGAAGGAAGGAAGAAGGAAATGATATAAACCACCAAAGAACCAACCTGTTCTGATTCAGCCAAGATTCTGGCTTCTTAAGTTCATATGTCTAAACTCAAAGACCCCCAACATGGCCCTGCTCTGGAAATTACAATTTCCATTGCCTTGTGACATTATTCAACCCCACTTTCCCCATCTTGGAGAAAAAAAACAAAGTAGAAATAATAAAATTGCCAGCCAAATGACATCATCCTTGTCATCGTCATCATTATTGGTGTTTTTTTTTTTAAATAACGTCTCATTTTGATGTCCAGTCTAAACTTGAACTCATCACTGTTCTTCTACCTCGGTCTCCTGAGTTCTGCAATTACATGTGTGCACCACCATATTCATAAATCCTATAAGATTATTGTGGGAATTTAATGCACTAAAATATACAATGCATCGATGGATGAATATTGGAAATGCTGAATATTGGAAAATGCTAGTGCCGCCCCCCCCACCCAGCAATACACAGAGTCTGTTAGATACCCCCATGGCAGGAAGGGTATTTTGTTGTTGTTTTCTTTTCTTTTTGAAATTAAAATATAGTTACACCATTATTATACACACCCTGCTTTAAGGCCAGTGTTTCTCACCATATCAAATGTAATCTGGGACACCGTTCACCACGCTGCATGTGCTGGAATGATAAGGTCCTCTGGGTGCCACAGGGCAGTGCCCTGTGACTCTGAGGCCTGACACTTGGACAGATGCAGTCTGGCTGAGCTCATGTCCCACTCAAGGTTATAGAAACAACCCAGTGTCTGTGTGTGACATCTCATATGCTTGGGGAAAGGGTGGCGTCTGCAAAGTCGCACACTCCTTTCGTGTGGAGAAGTGCTGGTTGCTGTCTCTGCCGGGATCGCATGCTTCTAGCACTCATGGAACAAGTGGGACATGTTGAGTTTTCGCTCATTCTTTTCTTTCTTTTTCCAATTGATTGCAGGGATATGTGAACATTCTGGTTTTGGCATCTGTAGGTGAACTATTAAGGTAAATATTGAAGTTTAAATGCAATTGCAGAAGAAGTGGAGCCATATGTTCTTAAAGCAATTTTTTTCACAATATTTTGTAGATGTATCATCATAGGGTAAAAGACTCAACCAAATGTTCTTGAGATGGCTGAGGGGCTTAGGAAAACAGCTCACTCGGTAAAATGTTTATTGTTCAAATGTGGGGACCTGAGTTCAGATCCCCAGCACCCACATAAAAGCTGGGTACAGCACTCCAGCAGTGGAGTTGGAATGGAGTCTGGTAAATCCCTGGAGGAAGCCAGCTGGCCAGTCTATCTTAATAGAGCCCCATGTTCAGTGAGAAGCCCTGTCTCTAAAGAAGGTAGCAGTATACCTAATGTCAACCTCTGACTCCACACACAAATGGATATATGAACCTGCACATGCGCGCGCGCGCGCACACACACACACACACACACACACAGACACACAGACACACACACGCTAGGAGCTCGGAGGCTTTGCTTTATCTTTTCTAATTTTCTTAGGCTCACTTTCCCACTTCACACTCCTTCCTCCGTTCCATGTTCATTTCTCAGCTTTGCCCTCATTCTCCTGACATGACTACAATATCAAACGTGCCTCCAAAGCTGGATTCATTCATCTATTCAAGAAACGGTTCTCCATATAACACAGCAAATGACAGTAAAATCAGATAAAATCAGATAAAATCAAGATGGGCATTTCAAGTAAGCATAACATATCCAGAGTATGAGCTGTGTGTAGTATAACTCCAGGTGAGCAAGCTGTATGTAGTATTCTGAACAGGAATGGCCCCCATAGGCTCACAGATTTTAATGCAAGCATTTGGTGGTGGGGCTACTTGACAGGGATTAGGAGGTGTGGCCTTGTTGGAGTGGGTGTGGCCTTGTGGGAGTGGGTGTGGCCTTGTTGTAGAAAGTATGTCCCTGGCAGTGGGCTCTGAGGTTACAAAC